GAACGAGGCGGCGGCCCCCTATCCAAATTGCCATTGACAGGGCGTGATAGATCGATCGAGGGTTTGGAATTGGAGTGAATGAAAGCGTCGAAGGGAATGGCGTCTCCGTATAATGAATCTAATACAATCAATATATACCTGTCAGTCGGCTCTTCTCTTTTTTTTTTTTTTTTTTTCAGTAAAAAATTGAATGAACCACCAACTTAGAACGGAGCCATGCCAGTCAGTATTTCTGAATTTTTGTTTGAATTTTTTTTTTTCTTTTTTTCTTTGTCTTCCTAAACAATAAGTGTAGTATGTCCATATACATGACGAGCCATACCAAAATCACAACTAGGAAGGGAAAAAAAAACAGAGGAGATGAGGGGGAAACCACCCCCCCCCCCCAAAAAAAAAAAAAAAAAAAAAAAAAAAAAAAAAAAAAAAAATTGCATGTCACAAGGACCGCCAGCATCATTGCATACATTACACGCAAAGACTGGAGGAACATGATATCAACAAATATCCAATATCCAATATCCAATAATCCAATGTCCAATAAAAAGGAAAAGCGTCCGAAGAAGAAAGAAGAAAAAGACCGCAGGCTGAATATGAGAAGGAAAGAGGAAAAGAAATAAAGCCGTAATTCATTCATGATCAGATGCAGTGAAAGATAAATATCAGAGGAAAAAGCCAGCCAGTCGCCCGAATCGGCCCGAACCCCCTATTGAAAATGGAGGGGAGGGGACAAAGAAAGTTGTATCCCAAGCACCCCCCTGCTGGAAAGTTAAGGTAATGAAACCCAAGAAGAGATAAGTATATATAGGAGAGAAGAGAAAGAAAAATCAAGAAGAGTCAGCAGCACATGCTGCGAATGCCACAAAAATGCAAAATGAAAAAACAAGAGAGAGAGAGAGAGAGAAAAGAAAAATCAGATTAAGTCTGGCATGATTGACCATCACAATCGCCTCCCAAGACCATTTCAGTTTTTGTCTCCTTTTTTCCTTATTTCCTTTTTTTTCTTTTCTCTCTTCAGCTAACCTGGGAACCCCAGCCCCATCCAGCCGCCGTCGCCGCCGTCGCCGCGCCTTTCCCGACCCTGGTATTCCGTCCCGCCATGCCAGAAGAGCCATATGCCACAAGTAGGCTAAAAAAATGGAAACCACAGAACGCCACCTCCCACCCTTCCGCCAAAATGAATCCCAGAGCGGACCAGTTATGAAGAAATCCGCTGACAATGTAAGAGACCGGACTCAACCGGGAGCCCAATGCAGGGGGAAAAAAAGGTATTTTGAATAGGTAACAGATAGGTGAAGGGAGGGGAATCGATCCTTCACTCCCTATATATGTATATATATGTATAAATCGGGGAAATGAAAATAATAGGAGGAATAATCGTATCCTAGAATTATTGACGTCCTCAGTCATGTTCAGCAGAGACGATTTCCCTGTTGCGGCGCCAGAAGGCAAGCCGTAAGCGACTCCGTCGTCGAGGGACGGTCCGGTTGTTGATCCCATTAGTGTCGTGCATATGGTGGTTTGCTGGAGAGAAATTGTGATGTGCGGAATCGGTCGACATGTAGTTATTGGAGGGGGGGTTTGGGTTTGTGATGGTGACACCATTCCCTTGGGCATGGTGGCCGAAGTTTTTGTCGATAAAGGCAGCCATAAAGTGCGGGGTTTTCCCATCCTCGACGTCGCTGTGGAAGGTATGAAGAATGCTTGGGCGCCCAGAGTTCGCTGGATGTGGCATAACCATGGGGCTGGCACGACTGCTGGTCCCCAAATCGCGGTGGTTTTCGGAACGGATGTTGCCGGACGGACCATTTCCTGCATCGCGGTCGAATCCATGGCGCACGCGATCATGTTCATCATCACTACTACTATTTAGACTGCTAAGGCTGCTGGGTTGGGTGGTTGAAGAAATGGGGGTCATAACTGTATTGTTCGTGTCCGTGCTCGTGCTTTGCGTGCGCGTTCCGCTAGTCATGTCGCTTTGGCGATTCACTGTCGTTCCGTTTGAGGCACGGCCTGATGAGCGCTGGAACTGGCGATGGCATTGGTAACGCCGGGAATGAGATGCTTGATTGTCCTCTGCTCCTGGATCAGTATGTCCAGAAGGGTTTGTCGTCGATATTGCAAGGGGACGAGAGCCACCGCTCAAGCCATGAGAGTCCTTATCAACATTAGAGTGTTCATCGGTTCCACAAGGTAGAACATTGCCAAGGGTTGGTGGTAGGTTCCAGGGGCCAGGCAGGACCCTATGAATATTAACGGCCGACTCATCCAGGGGAGTTTCGCCGAAGTCCTCGTTCTTAACATCCGATGAAGGAAGATGTGAATCGGATTGTGCCAATGGTGTTGTTGTACTGCTTTGGATCAATTCTAGCGACATCCTACTTTGTACCTCTCGATTTATTATTTCCCGCCATATCGACTTGTTCCGTCTTATTTCCACGGTGGTAAATGCCATATCTGGTAGCAGATAGGCCAAATTTTCAAAAAGAGGCAGGGCAAATAATTTTATGAAATTGATTTGACTTTTGGCGAGTTTAGGAACATTTCCAAGTTCCGGAGGGCCACCGAAGAGAGCCGTTTCCATTCCGATGGTCTTCTCCATGTTTCCTTGCTGGGCGAATTCCTCCTGTAAGACATTTGTCCATCGTTTCGCAATGTCCCAAGTGCGGGCCTGCACGAATGTAGCGGTTAGTTTATGCGAGTATATCAAAGAGAGAGGTGTAGCGACAAATCACGTACCACGTTGCTAATGTCGGCGCATTTCATCAGTAAGCCACAAAGTAAGGCCCGATTAGTCTCTATTTCATTGTCTGTCCACCGGTCCGTCGAGTGGGTTTCATGGTATTTCTCCCGAAGTTTGCCTAAGCTTTCCATGAACTTGAAATGGACACCCATATCAGTCGCAAGGATGGAGCTGATCATCAATTTACGAAGTTTCATATCCATGACAAATGAGGGCCAATAGGATCGTAGAAGCTGGGAATATGCAGCACAGTGGAAGGATTCTAGAACGGAAGTATCGTTGTACAGCTGGGCTAGCGGAGCATTCAACCGGACGAGAAATACATTGTTCACACCCGGATGACCAACGTCATGTCCAATGGCTGTGATCAGGAGGGTTAAAGCGGTGGCAGGGGTCAGCAATAATGCTATTGGGCTTACTGCCGAGAGTCGTCTAGTTCCATTCGGGTAAGGGGGTAGGGCCCCGATGCTAACTAGAAGGTGAAAGGTCGATTGTAGGACATCTATAGCGTGGCGGAAATTATGATATAGGACGAAGCTATTGTATGTGACACGAGTGGCAAGCAAGAAGGAACGAATTTGCTCTAAAAGTACATGTAAGCTTGTGATCAGCACCATAAACGAACTTGGCTTGCGTAGCTAAAAAGAATATCTACTTACCCGAGGAGATTCGCCAGGGTTCTAATTCCGGCATTTGCAATGCATGTTCTAGAATTACGGTTCCAGCATATACAAGTTCGTCCTCTGAAAAATCATGGGCTGAGAAATCCCATTTGCCGATTTCAGCTTCAACGAGTCGTTTTCGTGATGGTAGGACATGAAGATCACTTGGTCCGGGTGAGTATCTTGGCATGTAACGAAGGTTTCCAAGGAAGTATGCATACCTTTCATATTTTTCCAGCTCTTCGCCGGGATCACATATTTGTTTCATTAGTTTATTTACCCTAGAAATATCTAATTAGTCTTGAGTTAAGTTGTTTACGAGTGAGTTCATTGCTGCGCTAAGAGGGGGTACTGACATGGTCTCTCGAAGATAAGAGTATAACGGGTGGTCGTTCGTCCCAACCCATGAGTGTTTCTTGGGGCTCCCGGCTCCTGTATCCAGCAATCGTTGCTTTTTGGCTGACATAAATATTCTGTATGCCTGGACTGTGAGGGTCTCAAGCCTTGACGCAGTTAAAGGGGCTACGAGGACATCGCAAGCCCCCGCCTCCAAGCAACGATATACGCACCCGTTTACCAAGGGCAAACCGGTTACAGTGTTCTCAACTAGGGTTTCATGATCTTCGGCTTTAGCTTCTATCGATCTTTCACAACCAACGCCTTCCTGTACGAAACGCAACAAGGCGACGGGAATGGCTAGGTTCACTTCAGTCTGAAGACTCAGGTTCGCGGAGAATCTGGCAAGAACCTCTAGAATGCAGAAGTCATCCGATTCTGACGAGAATCGGAGAAACCGGCCAGCTTTGTTGTTGGATGTCGATGACGACGTGAGGGGAGCCAAAGACCGACTTTCAGATGATTGCCCTAGTGGTTCAGATGAATTGTCGACGGCGATGGAAACAAGGGCGAATAAGGGATTAGATTTAGGTCGACAAGTTGCATTGAGCTCCGTTAACTGTTCGCCGAATGATTTTCTCGAGTTGGAAAGGTAAACTGTTTAAGAGGTAATCAGCCATTAGTTGAAATGTTAAAAATTCGGATGACCTTAATAAAATCCAAACATGTTTTCCCACATGCGATCATTTACACGCAAGTTAAATCAAAGACAGAAAAAAAAAAAAAAAAAAAAAAAGAGCAAGGGGGATATGGGGAATGTGTTACCTTTCCTGAAAATACCAAGAAAAAGCCGCGTATTGGTGTGGATTTCGTCGTCTTCAGCAGCTGAAGTTTCTAATCCAGTGTATGTTCCTCCAGCAGTCGAGTCAGAATTCCTGACTACCCAACGTTCGTCTTTCACACGGTCGTCGAGGTACACAGCGCAAGCTTCTCCAAGCTCCATGCTTGAAATCGAAAATACAGTGATTTCTCGAAATTAGCCTCTCTCTCATGAAAATCGACCGTGTTATCCAACGAGAAGAAGGGGTAATGGAGCGACGATATCGGAGGGATCAAGAAAAAAGGGGTTCTTGTAAGCGATGGATGTCGAGGCGTGTCGATAACGAAGGTGGACCAGGGAAAAAAGGAGGATGGATCCCCTGGATAGACTAACGGGAGATATGATATCTACCCTTTCAACACTGCTGTTGCAATGCCCGAGTCGATCCGGCATAAACTCAGTCTGTCGTGTATGATGATTCTCCAGAAACCGACTTGTGACAACCTCTCACCGAAAGTGTTATACCCCCTCCGTTGTTGAAAAATAAAAGAAAATAAAAAGAAAAAAAAAAAAAAAAAAAAAACCTCCTGCTCTTTCACTTGTACCAGAACCACCTTTCCTTGCCCCCCCCCCTTTTTTTTTTTTTGCTGCCTTGAATCTCGCCTGCAAAGTCCCAAAATGTCAATTAGGCGAAGAGAAAACCGCGCCAGCATCGCCCTCAAAAGAAGCACAACGGGAAGCCGCGCAACATCCAGGTTCCTACCGACGGGGAATATATAAGACGCAAACTCGATGGGACCCGGACGACTGAGTAAAAATGGGCTTAGAGAAGAAGTGCAGTCAGTCGTTCGTCGTCGGGCAACTGACGGGATACTGGATACTGGATCGGGGTGAGGTGGATTAGCACGGTCGACCCTCTATAACAACAACATTGTGACGGTGGACGCACTAGAGACGGTAGGGGCGTGAAGGTATTTCGATCGTGGAGTTTCCCAAGGCCGGGTCGGAGAAGGGGCGGGAGGGTAACGCAGTCAGGCGCAAAGAGGGTTATTGGGTTGGCGAGATCGAAGTATTATTTTTTTTTTTTAATTTATTTTTTCCCGCTTCCTTCCAACGCACTTCTTGAGGGTTCTGCGAGAGGGAGAGTATTTGGTAGGGGATAATTATACGAAGAAGGGTTTTTGTTTCCCCTTCCCCCCTTTGAGCAAAGAACAACCTTTTCGACAGGGCTGGTTTCACAAGTTGTCGAGGGATTGATTGATCGAGGGTGAGAGAGTGCGATGCGACTTCCCGCTTTCCTTGGTTAACAAATAGAGTAAGTAGTAAATGCTGCAATGGAGGCGGCGAAGGGAGGCCCGGGGAAGAATCGTGATCGTGATGGCGGGAGAGATATTCAGAGAGAGGAGAAACAGTTTCCAGAGCTCTCAAGATCACGCACGCGATGACAGAGAGGCGGAGGCGGCGAGAGGAGAAGAGAAGCAGATGGGACACATTCCAGAATGGTTCAGGGATTGGAGAGGGCTAAAATGGGCCAGAAAGTTCAGGGCGATGGTACGCAGTATGGTATGGGAATGTACGGGTATTGGGGCTTATGTACGGTATGTATGGTCTTGTAAGGGGGCTGGCTAGTAATGGGTTCCCGCTGTCGGGGAGAAATAAATCGGATTAGCATGGCTAAGAATATCCTTGGCCCAATCGTCTGGCCGACGGGGACTTTCAATTGGCTGGCCGATCAGCCACTTCGCCCTGGATGACGCGATGTCCTCATGTAACGTACGCCGCCCCAGCGTACCAGCGTATTTGGCTGGACTTTGTGTGCGATGGTGCTACACAATGTACTCCGTCCGTACGGAGCACTGTACTACCATGTCCCACGAGTAGCTAGATACATACATAGATAGATATAGATAGATAGATAGATAGATACATATTATACATATGTTTTGCTGACTGATCACTGTTGTTTGATTCTCGAAGCATCCCAGTGACTGGCGACTTGGCCGTTTCCAGAAGCCTTCCACATGTCGACAATAATACCTGGCCTGAATCCCTGCTCATTCCCGCAAGCCTGGTTCAATTGCAAACAACAATGATGACCTGTCTCTCGATCTCTCTCTCTCTCTCCCTAATCCCAACCTGTCCCTCGAATCTATGATCATCCAAAAATCATGTTACTTGGGGGGGGGGAGGGTAAGGATGATACTCAACCTGGGGAAAGAAAGAAAGCCAAGGTTGGAACCGCTTCTCCCCTCGTGTTGGGAGCCGGGACAAGTCAAACGGCGGATCACCATCCATCACCCAAAGGGCTAGCGAAAAGTTTGAAATGGGAATAGAAGCAGTTTACACTTGGGAACTTGGAAGGGAGCGATCGATGGAGACAGCGCGCGTGAAAGCGCGGTTGTTCGAGCTGGGGGGTTGCCGTCCGTCCGTGGCACACCATTCATTCACCCATCAGAGTAACTAGTCAACTTATATCTGCGTATAAATATATATATATATATATATATATATATATATATTTATATTTTCCCACCTTCTTTTCTTGTTCTTTTTTTGCAACATCCTTGTTTCTGGACCCAGAGATTCCTTCCCCCGGGTGGGTGGCATTTCCAGCAAGAAAATAAAACAAAAAGTTGATATATTAAAATAAAAATCAAAATCAAACATCAAAATCAAGAAAATGGAAGAAGTGTTGCGCAACCTCTTTTCAAGACAACGAACTATCTAATCTGTATAGGCTTGGTTGGTTGGGCTTGTTAGCAACGCGGTTAACTTACATAGTACGGAGTACTCCGTAGTTAACTAAACGAACGTTGCTGGGTTTTGCCAAGAACCAACTAACCAGCTAGCTACTAGCTAAGCTGGCTTTTCCCGGGTTCAAGAACAAACGTTGCCGCTTGCAAGAACTTCCAAAGAACTTCCAAAGAGGAAGAGGAAAAAGAGTTGGGCCCCTGATTCCTATTCCTATTCCTGAGCATAACATTATTGTGAGTGGATGAGATTGAGATGAGGTTCTAGGGACTAAAAAAGCGTGCCACCACCACCCCGAGTTGTAAAATAATTCCCCTCCCCGCCTCGTATTCCGGATTAGCTTTGGGCTAAACTTATTATTGGCGGCCGACCCCTTCGTGTCAGAAAGCTACGACTACGCTTCGTATGCTGCGGCGGCTAAATTTTTCTGTTCGTCTGAAGAAGATGCAAGATACTACGTAAAAATAAAGTAAAAACTATTGAAGTAATACGAGTCAGTACTTTAGTTCGTTTAACTATGACAGAATCTACGACAGTACGACAGTATCTAATAATAACCACCTTCAGCAACGACAGAGCACCGAGTACGCCCGCGCCCACTCAAAACGACGGCCACGTCGGCGTTGCGGTGACCGAAGGTAATCATGGTTTTGTGACCCGAAACCAGCCATGGTCGCATCAGGCAGTGCTCATGTGCGGAGTATCTCCTGGGTACCAGTACGGAGTACTTGCGTAGCGCATGCAGAAGCGGCTCAGATGAAACTCGCTTCCCTGCTGGCCTGGTATTGAGCACGCCGTGTCCCCTGGCCCCCGCCCAGTCTCCTAGTTCCTAGCTCGAGGAGCTGGAACTTGGCCGTCTCCCCGTTCCCGCTTCGAAAATGCTTCTAGAAGGATTTTCGCTCTTATCCTGGGGCCGAGATATCGAACTGGGCTAACGAAAATTTCCCCCCTCCCCCGAAAAATCCTTGCTCTCCCGGCGAGAATCGAGAATCGAAAAGCCAAAAAGAGAAGGAAAAAGAAAAAGAAAAACCAAAAAACCAAAAAACCACACACAAATCAATAAATTGGCGTTAACTAGTTCATAAATTGATTCTTGGGGGAGAAGTCGAGACAAATAACTGGTGTGTAAGTTCAACCTCCGGGCTTTGCTCTCTTGGGAGAGAGCTCCTGTTTTGCAGCAATCGACAAATTGAGGATAGTTGCAACTTTCGTCGGTGCCAACGGGCGGGTCGAAGAACTTTGTCGGGGCAAAAACATAAAAATAAAAATAAAAATAAAAAATAAAAAAAATAGACAAAAACCGGAGAGTTGTTGGCCCGTTTGATGTTCTTTGTTTACGGAGTACGGAGACAACGAGAGCACAATCCGCGTCCCTGGCTTCCTGAGTCCAGAGCAGGGCAGGGCAGGGTTAGAAGAAGTTTTACTTTTGACACATCATGCATGGATGACGATGGGCCTTGCTCGCGTCTGATCCACTCGAGTTATTGCAACTACTGACGTGGGCATCCTTTTCACCCAGGGGTTTGAGTTGTCGCCATCTCCAGTCTCCAGTCGCCGGACGGGGAATCCGCTCTCGAAAAGTATCCAGACCTGCGGAGTAGCTCAAACCAATCTCGAGTCTCGAGTCTCGTAATTTTTTATTTTCTTTCCTCAGAGCTTGCAGCGGCAAAATAGCATTTTTACCACACTCATGGGAAGCTTCCCGATCGAAAAGCTTACAACGCTGAGCCCGAACAAAGCAGCGACGGGCCTTCCGACCCCACGCGTCAGCAGCTCTTGGGGAGTCGATTCCAGCTTTCCAGCTTGGTCCCAACCAAGGGGTGGCTGAGTTGGGGGGGGGGGGGATTCCCGGACTTAGTTCGTCGTCGGGCAGTAACTACTCCGTCGGCTTGGTCGAAAAGTCGCTGAGAGAGAGAGAGATCCACCGAGTGGGGTAAAAAGCAAGGCAGGGAATGTTGTTCGGGCTAAAAGCGTAGTTTTCGGCCGCTATTCCTGCAAGCTGGGGACCCACGCCTTCTGTGGTCACTGGTCACTGGTCAGGCGGGCTCCGATGCTGGGCCTTCCAGAAGTATTTCGCAGCCCCCCAAACGCGTATTGACGGGCGTAATATATACGGCACCAGCGTTGGGCGTACCGGTATGGTAACCTTGCCCAGCCCGTTGTTCTTACCACGCCCACAACGGAACGGAGCCGAGGCACGGCTGCTGCTGTGCACATAAATAAATACATAAGGGAGAGTTTTTTTTAAAGTTATTCGCATTGTACAGGACAAGCTCCACGGGCGCCGTTTTTATAGTTTATTTGATTTCCTTTGTCCCTTTTGCTGTTGCGAGGAAAAGCGCTTGCGGACATGGAACTCCGTTGATTGATTGTGTGGTGTAGCCGGGCCAAGGCTTATACCGAATAAGGAACAACCGCTTAATTGGACATCAACAACAATGTCTGACAAATTGACAAGCAACAAAAAAAAAAAAAAAAAAAAAAAAAAAAAAAAAAAGCAAAAGCTAAGCAAGAGAGTTTATCGCATCCAGCCCGTCCTGGGATGCAAACGAGCGACCCGTGCTTGGTATCGAGTTGTGTATATTATCTTCATAGATGGCGTATTCGGAACCAGAACCAAAAATTGGAGAGTGCTGCAAGGAGGAGAAAGACAGCAGAAGAAACGCTCTTCAAGGGGCCAACTTTGTATAGCGTGGATAGCGTGGATAGCGAAGCAGCGAAGCAGGGAAGGGCAGCCAGGAAGGGCAGCCAGGAAGCCGCTGACCCTGCCAGGCGAGTGAGTCTCCTCGCCCCAGCCATTGGCCGCAGCAGCCATCGCGGAGGGCAATAACAACGCTGATCAATCGTCGGGACTGGCCGGGCCCGGGGTAAATTACGGTCCAAAGGTCGGAATCGGCGAATTTTGGCTAGTTTCATGTGGGTTTGCTTTTTCTAGTTTCCTGCCAAGGCGATTCCTGAGCTGGACCGGGAGCAAACCCACGGCAAATTCTGCCTGTTTTGGATTCGCGTGGCATCGGGGACAGTCCGTGAGAGAAAGAAAACAGAACGGTCGTGATTCAAACTTGAACACAACGAACGGGTTCTGTGGGCATAGCTTCTCCTTCGTTTCCCCGGATTGCTTTTGATCCTGCGTTGATGACCGCACAAAAGTTCCATGGTCAGCGGCTTGCTCTCTGGTCAGATTATTCAGAATAGCCAGGAGTCAATAACTACACAGAATCAGGACTTCTCCCTTGGCCCACCCCCAAAGGACGCATCAATGCATCAATGCATCAATGCATCAATGACTCCGGATCTGTATAGTTTGCTATTATGCTACAGAAACAAAAGACAAACAGACAGGTGCTGAGATCCTGCTCCCGCTCAACGCAGCACCAGCCAATGAATAATATCCATCCCAACAAACAAAGAACCCTTCAATGCTCTCCATTTGCACCACACCCAGCCCGTTGGCTAGCTAGTTCCTTTTTTTTTTTTTTTTTTTTTTTTGCCAAAAGCTGGGGTTCCGCTGGGTTGGTTTTCAGTAGTATCATGATACTAGAGTAGTCTGGTCCTGCTAAAACCAACAACTCCCTTTCTTTTTTAACCCCTCCACAATCCCAGGGCCACGGTACTCCGTACACATGCACGAAACTGCGATATTAAACTCTCCTGTACAGAATTACCGCTTCCGGACTCTAGAGCAACAGCATGAACCCTAGCATCCATCTGTTGTTTATCTATTATTCATTTTCCCCCAGCTTGAAATTTTGAAAACAAGGTAAACTACATAACTATCTGTGTCTGTGTGCCAAAAAACAAATCAACAAATATTAACATAAATCAATCAATCAATCAATCAATCAATCAATCAATCGATCAATAAATAAAATAAATCAATAAAAGCATCATCTGGCGCCATCTCACACATCGGATCCAAAGGTGGAAAGAGAACTTTGAAAATATTCAAAAGAAACGCCCTAACCTGTTCGCGCGCCTCCTCCTTGGATCAGAAACTACGGAGTACTTCTCACCTAAGTTAGCTAAGTTAGTTTTCTCAAGAGGCGACAACATATTGACATGGTTGCGCTTCTTTTGCTCCCGTGTGCCCCCCACTCACTCCTCCCTCCTCCCTCCTCCCTCCTCATTCCTCATTCCTCATTCCTCATTCCTCATTCCTCATTCCTCATTCCTGTTTGCAGAAGAAAAAGAAGATTTGGCCTAATGCAATGGTAAAACGCCTTCCCTGGAGCTTATACGCAGTAAGCCTATATAACTATTATCTATATCATTGCATTGTGCACAGCTTTGTATGTATATGTTTGACATGACATGACATGACGGGGAAAGGCAGGAGGGAGGGATAAAATGATAGTCAGGTTTCCGAGCACGCAATATGGGGGACCCAGGTAATCGAGGTCGATGGAAGGGATTATTGATTCGATGATTCTGAATCTCCTCCATGTTTGTTGATTCTCCTGGTCGGTCCGATCTTGTTCTTGTCTACTAACAATATACTATTGCCTCAACTACGATCTAAGGATTTTCAAAATAATTGCTTACGATGTCGAGCGAGCGGGGACGAGGGATGGGGGATGGGGGGATTGGGGGTTGGATGGATGACAGGTCAAATCGGGGACATAAGCAGTATTATCACTAAAAGCTGGGAGGGAGGGAAAAATTATCCCAATCCTAGCAAGGCTTAGCGCATAAAATGCCTCTTATTATTATATTGTGACTAAATTGGGGTGGTAGTTAGTTAATATCACGCCTTATTATATGAATGGGTCTATGGAGGGATATATGCAGCTAGTGTTTCCAGTCCTAGAGTAGAAGATGTCATATCCTTCGTTGCAAAAAGTGATATGTAAAAAGTTACTAAGGGGGTTAGTGTGACTTAAAAAGTATGCCGATGCTGAGAGTGGCGGATTCAGGAACGCTGGATGAAATCATGATTAATTGCAATGCAATGCAATTCGCACAATGGCAGTGTGTGGGTCGTGGAATAGGAGTCTCTACTCTACTCTACCCCTGGACAATGGCAGAGAATTTTAACTCGTCGACAACGCTAACGGTTTTGTCGGACTGTGCTGCTGTGACATGAGTACAACGCATTGCAGAGCTTACTCCTCAAACTCGAGTTGCAATTGGCTCTCTAGTCATGGAGAAGACAAGTTAGAACGTTGAGTTATGTATGTAGCCCATGACTTAGGACTATGCTTATTTGAGGGGAAATACTTGGGGAGAAAATCCCCTTGGATGGACAACTTACCCCATATTTTATTGGCGGATGCAACGATGATCTCTGCTTTTGCGAGAAGCTTCGCGGGAACACGTTGCGCACCTTGGAGGTTCGTATTTCGTGGCTGGGCCTGTCAGACAGCATATTGCGCTCTTCCTTTAGCCGCGGAAATACAACAATAGTAGTAGTCTTTTGAAGGAGAGATTATGAATTATGAACCCGCAAACCAGCGGGAGAGGTTTGTTTTCATGGAAGGAAATCGTAGCTCACCATCATCAAAACAGGCACCAGGTCCTTTGGGTCAGCCTCAGCCAGCGCCCTCAAGGACTTGAAACCATTCTCCCACAATAACCTTGCCGTTCGGCTCTTGACATATGCCACCTGGGCCATTTCCAGCAGGTCAGCTCGAGCTCCGGCATGCAGACGGTCACGCATGTGGTCTAGCACGACTGCCAGCATGTCCCAGCCCATGCGTTGGCAGAATTTAACAATACCTGCAGCAAATCCATGGCAGGTTTGTGCCAGGGTTTGCACATTGCCTCGCGGGATGTTATATCTCTGCGCGATTGTTGATATGGGGACTTCGTTACTGAGGTCGCGTAGCTGGAAGGCTGTATATGCGCGTTGATAGATGCGGGCGATGGTCTCGTCCTTTATTCGAGTTCCGGACTGTGCCCTGTTATTGAAAATTAGCGGACTAGTTTCGTGGGCTTGAGCTTTGAGGTTTCCGTTTCGAAATATATTTACGAACGAATGGCGCCACCAGAAGGGACCAATGGATGGAATCTTAGATTGATTTACATTTTGTTCACGAACACAGGCACTACGCCTACAAACTGCAATGCACGAATACCACTTTCATCAAGGTTGTTCATTTGGTCCCGAAAAATCGACCAGTCGATATCAGTGGGGCTTGAATTTTGAAGAGGCGCGAACATATAGAAAATATGCATCTCCCCGTCCATGACGAAGGATTTAAGGGCACGCTTCAGTTCGTGGTGAATGAAAATACCATCTTCAGGGCTGAGCGAGGAGGATACCACAGCTTGCCCTAGTCGCGTCGGCTCGTACGATTCGGCCTGCTCGAGATCCACGAGGCCGTTGTCGACTAGGTCCTCGAGTGTCTTGTCCACCATGGAAAATAGCTCTGCTGCTTCCATATTCTGGTAGAGCAAGGTACACATTACATATTCGTTGATGGACTCCCGGCTAGAAACAAGTCTAGTCGCAATTGCCTCAAGAAGCGCCCTGGTCAACTCTGACATTAGCTGTAGTAAATAAACAAAGGGATGATCAACAGTTGATTCGGGGAACCTTTTAATGCCCCTTTTTTCAGGGGTTAAACCACTGGCGATGGCAGGCATTTCTGCCTCCAGTAATTCTGCCACTGCCTCTAGGTCGTCTTTTTGGCAACAGAGGTAAGTTTCCCCAACCTCATCCTTGCCCTTCCGACCAGCTCGCCCTGGCATCTGCCGTCTATAAAACTCAGTCATGGTTCAGAAAAGGAGGGGGGGGGGGGGGGTTCAAGGTGTATCAAAGCACATACAGCATAGCTGGGCCAACCAAATCGCGGCCCATTCGAGCCCCGCAAAGAATAACTCGTCGTGCAGGAAGGTTGATCCCAGCTGCTAGGCTACATGTAGCGATTAGCACCCTAAGGGTGCCTTTATCGTATGCCTCCGCAATTAAATCGCGTTCTTCCGTCGTTAGGCCGGCATCTAAGATCATACAAACATGATAAGTTCACTTATCGTTTGGAAAAGGGTGAAAATCAGTAAACACTAACGGTGAAAAGCCACTCCTTTGATGACTGTCATTTGCAATACAGGGTCAAGCCCACAAGGCAGGCTCTGCAGCCCCGCGATTAGATCCATCCGACGTTCCAACAGATCATTGTCCAACGCTGTTTCGTCTGGCATCGCATGGCTAACAAGCACCGCATTACTCTGACATGCTTGTCGACTGCCACAAAACACGAGAGCGCCGTATCCGGAGAGAGCAGTTTCTAGGGCCAACGATACCATGGCATTGGAAGTTGGGTTCCCAAGCTCCTTATGCATCGATCGGTCAATTATTCTGCATGCAAGGGAATAATTTGGCGATGAGTCAGGCTTATTTAATTGCATAGCTGTTCTAAAGAACTCCTTCGAGCTTGTGGCGGGATATATTGCATTGTTGTAGACCAGATGCTCTTGAATGGGTATGGGCCGATATTTGGAAATATAGTAATTCGCATGCAGCCATTTCGCGAGGACCTCAGTATTCTAGCATTACGGGTTCGTGAGTAAAAGTTCTTCTTGGGTTTGCAATTATGGAGCACCAACCGACAATGTGGCACTCATACCAACGATTTGGATATCTTGCTGTAATAACAATAATTTTGTAACCATAATCTCTATCAGATAACCACGATGCTCATCATCAAGCATATGGAGCTCATCCAAGACAACAACGCCCCAGGTCATTAATGCTACATTCCTCAATGGCAGCATTCACTAACGAATTAGCCTATGGGAAAGTGGAGGGATTAGCCAGATATTCTCCATGCTGCTCGAAACAAGAAAAAGACGGGCGCCCATCAAACCTTTTCAATAGTACAAACGGCTATGTCAGTATCAGTCCATGTAGCTCTAGTTTTGCTTCCGCCAAAAAATCCTGTAACCCGGATGGACTTCTGTGGTTGTCTCCATTTGGGTGCCGAAGAGGCCTCGTCTGCAGTGGTCGGCATGTCAACGTTTTTATCCACACCTTCAACTACTCGGCGAAGCCACTTGAGCTTCTCCTGCACGAGAGCAACATAGGGAAGAACAAGGATAGCTCTCTTGGCTGGATCCTCAATGACACGTTTCAGCATCAGCACATCTGCTATCAAGGATTTTCCACCACCGGTTGGCGCACTGTATACGAGGTTCTTTTCCGCAGTGAGATGACCTCGACCCAGAAGACAGGAAGCTTGCCATGGATATATACAGTTCACGCCTAGAGAGGAAAAATTGGCAACCAACTGAGGGGGCAACCCATAGGATTGATGTGAAAGTGAGAGCAGTGGATTCTGCGATGGTCCTGGGGTTGATGAAACAGCTTGCCGTTGCGAGTATTCAGATATGGTTTCACTGGATATCCCCACTGCATCCGGCACATCACGTATTTGGCTTGCAATGATACGTGAAGTGTTTGCTGTGGGTGATAAAGTTGGACGAACAAATCCGTTAGACTTTAAAGCCGTGCTTTTCCTGACTGTTTGGATTGACTGCTGATTTATACTCGGAATCTGCGGAAACAAAATGTTTCCAGTGAGAGACCGCTTTGTTCCTGCGAAAGACGCGGTGGATTGTTGTCGCGCTATACCAATAGATGTTTCAGGTTCTTCAGGTTCTCGCGAGTGGATGGAGGCTGGAAAAGGATTCATTTCGCATTTGGTGTTGCCCAAAAATGAAACAGGAACAACACAGGGGAATTATCAAAAAATTTTCTATCATCATATTGGTTTGTTCATCTATCACATTCAGCACCTGGTCATTGTGATGTTGTCTTAGTCAAGAAAGAATACCTCCATCGTGTGTAAGATGCGGGTGCGACCACTCAGAGCATCCCATTTTTGATGCTGTTTTAAGCCAATTCCTGGTCATGTGATGTGAAACCTACACCACATCTCCCACACCTCTCATCAACAATCATTTTTCACATATATCTCAGAGACAGTGATAGTTGTGATGTTATGTCTACAAGTTATCAATACTTGACATTGATGTTTTACTTCATTATAATATATAAATTCAATATCTTCTACTTCTTTGAACTATTTTTTAGTTCGCTCTGCCTACCTCTCTACTGACCTGCAGCACCTGCTTGAATGAATGATATCCACTGATGATATATCGATGATGATGTGTAGCGATGATATCTGGTGATGGTATTCGTGATGATATTGTTTAATAGCAACATAATGAATAATATGACTTCGCACTTTCGCTCCGCCCTGCCCGGCTGCATGTTTCATGGAACTCCTGCTCTAGAGTGTTGTGCCTGAGCTTTCCAACCCTTTGAAGAAATTAAATATGCCTTCATCCCCTGGGATTTAGAGGTTCGTTTGCCCACCCCCGGAAGAGGGTTGCTACGGGCAGCCTGCCCCTATATTATCCTCTTCTTCAGATTAGCGGCGAGATTCCCGACCCCATTCCCAACATATTCATTGCCCCTCAATTATCCCAGATCTTTTTAATAAGTGTCCTTTTACTTCAATTTTTTAAATAGTCTTTTAAATGCATTATTGTTTTATTATTTCTCTTTTTTTCTGTAATAGATTTTTACTTCAGGTAGATAGATCTTCTCTATAGATAAATTCACTAATTAAATTATAGATGAGTGATCTAATGAAGCTAAGTGCTGAGATTATTCAATTAATTACACAGTATTCAGACTCTGAAAAGAACATTTACTTCTTTACTCTGATGTGATCATTGCAGCAATGTGAGCATACTCGGCTTCAATCCAGAACTGCTAATCCCAATCAATGCAGTCATTAAATTGCATTGCCAGAGTCTTGTCCCACTGTAGAAAAGGTGAAATATACTGACTGAGGAACAGATTTTGATTTGATAGCAACTGGATCATCTCTTCTGCGACCAAAAAGAGCATCAGTGAACTCAAAGACAACAAGATCTTGTCTTGGATCATCAAAGCCAGGCTTCTCCACCATGATGACATTTCTAGGCGTTAGATCAGCGAGCAAGAGTCAATTTTCGAACGGTGCGCATTTCAGACCTGTCAACAGGAATATTTAATGAATAGGACCCATAGAACCGGGGTACTCGGCCCCCGTGCAACTTAGATAGGACATCGTAAGCATGAGCCTCGTGGGTATAATGCTTGTCCACGCAATGAACAGGATTAATAAATCCCTCCTCATTGCTGAAATAATAAAGAAGGCTATATATTTTGGCAAGCAATTTTCTATTTGATTGGGAGTACTGAGGATCAGGTCTAACTTCAAGAGCCTGCATTGTGAAGTCCTGAGCATTGTAGCTGTTTCCAACCCTCAATCAAGAATCTTCAAGTTGACGGTGCGCGGTTCCATGTTTCCTGGTAAATTGTGGTGGTCCGTGGATGTAAAGCTTGCGAAAACACGGAGGATGTCGCAGGCACCGTTCGACTGGGTGAAACTGTCTTCTTTCCACCCAACCAGCTTGAAAGTTACGGCAACAATCTTGGTCATGGGTATTGGTAGTTTCGGAAGGTCGGTGGACGGAGGATCCATGAGATGTTTGTGTGCTTTGATAGAAACGGTGATCTTAGATAAGTAGCGGGCGGACGGCTTGCCGCTCGACCTTTCGGACTTTCTTATTTTCCGGACACACCCTTGGGCAAGAACCGATAACCAACGGTCTTGGGTTGATCTCGCAAATTCTAGATCTAACCGTGCCATGCTTACTCACTCTCTCTAGTGAGTGCGCCACAGCGTACAGAAAACCACAGTGTATGGAAAATATTATCAATATCTTCATTCTTCATCTTCAAATAATCATCATTAATTATAATCATGTTTAAATCTTCTAATTACACTAAGGAGTAGTTGTAAAGAGCTGTTGATGTGTACAAAAACAATTCAAAATTAAAAATCACATCTTTGTTGTGAGAATTCAAAGTCTCATATGCCATCTTGTATGAGAGGATCAATGGGAAGAAATCAAGAACTATAAGGGTTTCACTAAATAGAGCATTGAATGACAGTCAGAAGAAGACAATTAAGATATGAATTCATTAATTGAATATTAATTTTTGTTTATTCATCATTGAGCATATTGAAGCTGCTGTGAACTGCATGTTGAGACAGCATCATAAAAATTCAGAGACTGCACCTCTCACAGTAAGTAAGATATGAGCATATCAATTCATCAAATGCCTGTCAGATTATGAACAGATCAATTAAAAGCTTATGAATTTAAAATAAATGTTTTATGAGAATATAAACTTCATTATTAACTGATTTGATTGATATGAAACTGTTTTCAATCAATATCACTTTTTCCCCTGCAATATCTACAATTTTGATGAGATTGGATTTCAAAAAAAAGAAAAATGTAAACAGTGAATTATAACTATTTTTAAAAACATGAATTTCATCATATAATTATCATACTTCTATGAATTAATAATAGTGATGAAGTGTGTCAGTGCAGATAATATAATATTGAATTTATTGATTATAATGAAATTGAAAATTCATTTAAAGAATTGATATACACATTTCAATTTATTTAATAATTACATCATCACTGCATCTGAATCTGACTTTATAAGTGATGAAATTGGATTTGAATGAATCAAACAATTCAATAAGATGATAAAAAAGCATTAAATGAGCAGTCATTGATTGTTATTAATAAACAATCATGATTGTCATCTCACAGAAGAATTCATTCAATATTGTGATTTTTATAAAATTATTTTATTTAAATTTTTATTTTATACAAATCATATCTACAATCTCTTGATGATATACTTTTTCAACAGTATAAGCATTATTATACAAAAATAGTTAATAAGATTGTTGTTATAAATATGAGCAGTATGATGACAGACAATTCTTTATTAATCTGAAAAATTTTCAATTGCAAACATTCAAATCCAACATTGTGAAAGCTGACTTTACTGATTGTGGAATGTATTCAGTTAATTGCAATATAATTTTTAATTGATTGAGACCTCTTATCATTGATGATGCTCTAAATCTCAATCTATATGATGATGATGATGATGTATGCAATCATTTTATTTTATTGTTTGTAGATTGATTGTCAACTGTTTCTTTGTAATTAATCTTCTCAAAGACAGTTGTAAAACTACATCATCAAATCAATGCAGCAGTTAAAGCTTTACAAAATGTAAAGAATACTCTTACATCTGATTTAATAAAGTAATTGAATCAGATTTTCAAAAGTAGTATGATTTAGATGAAATTTAACATACACTGTGAGAATGAATTTACAAATCATTATTGAGCAAATAAATATTGAATCATCAAATCTTTCCACAGACAGATGTAACTAAATGAAGTTTTCATTATTAAGAATGTCAATCACAAGATTGCAATCTGTAGAGCAGATGAGATGAAAAAGACATTCAATAAAAATCTTCAATTGATTAAAATCAAATCTACAAAATCTACAACCACTCAATCACGATAAGATAATTCTATAAAATTTCAATCTACAGTGGATTCTACATCTTCTAATAAGTATATAGATAATCTTTATGTTATAGATAGATGTGGTGGTGGTTATTAATTAATTTTCAAAGATTACTATATTCAAAATATTTTCTGTACACTGTGGTTTTCCGTACGCTGTGGCGCACTCACTAGAGAGAGTGAGTAAGCATGGCACGGTTAGTATTTGACAAGAAATCCGAGCAAGCTGCCTAGTGCCGATTTGGCTGAAATGGAAAGAGTCGGCCAAACTCAATAAAGGAAGACGGAGGCAGGACTCGACTACATCACATTCTACCAGCTGAGAGCATACCTGCACTCCCAAATTTATCGATCAAGGTGTCTGTCTGTCCAGCTGTAACCGCAGGTTCTCAGCATCTCTAAATGCCTTTCAGAGGAGCGGTTGGCTGACAAATCCGGAATTGATCGAGGTACAAGTTATGGATAGTAGTTGCATGTTTGGCTTCCTGGTGATCGGAGTTTCATTGGTTGAGCGTGCTCAAGCGGCAAAGAGAACAACTGATAGGTGGAAATCGTGACTTGGCTTATGCATTGTTTTTGCTTTGCATATGATGTGGAAATATCGACCAGTGATGTTTCTCCGTTTTCCGAACTCCAGCTTTGTAGTGTGCGCTGGCATGGAACATGCCTTCTTCACCTATGTGATGGGTTACGTGATGCGGTATAAAGGAACGCTTCATCTGCAGCATTGTACTGTACATAACATTGGGAGAATGTTCTTATTTATTAATCGAGATTGCTCCATAGCAACTCGAGGAGAGAAGGAATCGCCGCTGGTCTTGAAAGGCAAATATGTCACTTAACCGCAATCAACCCAAGGCCACATCATCATTGATGTTCATTAGGCAGCATCTAGGCAGACAGATAGACATCTTACACTCGTCGCTGAGATTTTACAGACAAGCGTCGGGACAACAGGTGAGATAGGCCGAAGTTGTTAATAGAAGACCTCAGAGCTGTTAAGGTATTTATTTGGCATTCATTTGGCATTCCTTATAGCTACGGATGTTTTTCCCCTTTAACAATTGCCGTGTTCAATGGGAGAGTTTCTGCTAATGGAAGACAAAAGGAGGATGTGGTGAACCAAAGACCAGCTCTCAAAGCTACATGACGAGCAATCTATAATCTAACTACAGAGTAAACCGGTGGATGTCTGATTCCTGGAAGGATTAAAAAAAAGTAGTAAAACGCGACGAGGACAGCTGCGGGCATGTCTCGGCGCAATGACTCGCAAAAGGTCCACTTGTAATAATAATGGCTACTCCGGGACCAAATTGAGTAGGTAACCTAGGCCCGAAAAAAGAATATCCCGATCGAATTTATTGCTCTTTTTTTAAAAAGATATGCAAAATTAAATAGCGCTCTCCATTCTGGAGAGTCATGGCTACGCCGTAAGTTATCAGGGCCGTGGCTGAACTAACTCAGGGAACAAGTTGTGCAATTTGCACTCCGAACATACTTTAGCGGTTGATCATTGGTCCAAACCGTCGAACGGCGCACCCCAGCAGGATCCAAGCGCGCACGCTCGTAGGAAACCTGAAATGTTCCCTTTTAGCTTAGTGGAAAAATTCTCGGTTTTGATACCTACTTCTACCAGCAGAGGTAGTTGGTACGGGGTACATGTACAGGTAGAGTGCAAATTTGCCGAGTTCGTGCTGAAAGAGGCATATTGGGGCACAGTGAAGGAACCTGTGCTGCCTGCAATGTTTACCAGTGTCAGAGTTGCTAGGAACATCAGAAAGCACTCCGGAGGGCACGAGGGGAAGGATTTCCGTATGTGTTGTTAACTTGTTGTGTTTCGCGTTTTTGCTATTTTAGTGAAGTCCACCTTGCGGAATAAATCAATGTAACTTGGAAGCTTATCAGCTACCTGGTTAAGTACAGGGTTAGTGCATAGAAAACCCATTTTTAGTTGCGCTGGCACTGGCGATGGAGAGGTAGTAGAAACAAGCACAGCCCTTTTCAACTCAAGAAAGGGGATCGGGTGAACAGGATGCCTCGCACCCCCAGTTGATTGAAAGGAAACAAGCAGAGGTCCTTGGAATTTCATTCTGTATAATTGAGTTGTGGGGTGTTCTGTCGGATGAGAGAGGCGTCTCTGGCGTTTTCTGGTTCTGGGGACTGCGATGCAAACCAGTCGGCATGAAATCCAATGATGAGAATTACGATAATAAGAATTTCCCGCGTGTCTGTGGTTGTGGATACACACACGGACGCCATGCTGCAGGTCACCCAATAACATGGATGGCAATGGAACATGTCCTTTCGACAAAGGCCTGGGGCCAGGAGTAACGATAAAAATAAAAGTCGAATGCAAGGGGATATTTGGAAATTTTCAACCCTCATCCAGCGGACCATGCCTTTTCCTGTATTCCCCCATAAGGAGCACCCAACGTTGCGGAAACACGGTATCTGCCAAGAAAGGAAAGTTTATGTTTGCCGTAGTGGAAGTTATTTCTTAGACTTCTCGCCAGTCATATTGGAAGGGGGCACAGAAATGGAACTTGGTGGAGCTGGCGGCCTGTGGTTGAGCAAAGGACAAAAAAAATAAAGGAAAACGATCACAGTTTGCCTTGATGTTGGCTGGTTGTGTGAGCTCGCGAAAGGTCAATAGTTAACTGGTTCTCATTTTCCCTATAGGGAGGGCATGTGTTATATCTCACTGGAGATATATCTGTTCTTTTTCCTTTCCTTTCCTTTCCTTTCCTTTCCTTTCCTTTCCTTTCCTTTTCCTTGATTTTTTTTTTTTTTCTGTTCTTCTCTCCTCTTTTCCTTTTATCCTCTCCTAGCCGTCGAATCTGGGTAAAGAACTGAATAATGATACTGTCTATCTGCCTGATAAGTAGGTGTTGTAGATGTGGTAGCTTCTTACTGATTTTATTGCTTATTCGCCACGGTCAATCGTACACATTTTAAACGTTACAAACGATCCATGGATATAACGGATTATTAACTTTGTAGGCTGGTGTATCTTGAGCATCGGGCACAGCCAGAAGAATCTTCTTACGATGTAGTTGCTGGAAACAAGAGGGGTCAAGGCTACCTAATCCCCACTAACACTAACCAGGCGGGCCTGTGGGGATTTGCATCCATCATGTCGCCTGCCCAGATGCAAGACCGCTCAGAACAATGCATGCAAGCTGTGGTGGAAATGACACAGGTAGATGGATGTTCTGGAGAAAACTAAAGGTTCGGGTTTCATTGTTGCCGGGTCATAATCGTAATTCTCAAGCAGAATCCATGCAGAAGGAAGAAGTAATTTTAGAGATAACTATCTCTTCTATAGCACGAGTTCACTCACCCGTACCTAGGTAGGATGCCAGCTCTTCCCACGCCCGGATTCCGAAGCATGCGACGCGTATGCTTCTCGCATGCGGTCCTGCTGTGACTCAGGAGATCCGGTCTGCGACTCAGGCTTTGACGAAGTCCATAG